GACTACATGCCGATTCTACGGCGCGCCGGCGACCGACAGTGGTGGACTAAAGACTCTGCTCTTCTCCATGGATAGCAGTGTATTTCCCGTCATTCTTCAATGCCGAGACATTTCTATTTACCACCGGCCTACGCCGACTACATGCCGATTCTACGCGTGCCGGAGGGACGACCAGTGGTGCGACTAAAGACTCGTCATTCTCATGCCAGAAGCCAGTGTATTCCCGGATTCTTTCATGCGAGACATTCTATTTCCCCGTGCACGCGACTACATGCCGATTCTACGTGCGCGCCCCGCCCCCCCTGCCGGGGACGACAGTGGTGGGACTAAAGACTCGTCTTCTCCATGCGAGACAGTTTATTTCCCGTATTCTTCATGCTAGACATTCTATTTGCCCCGGCACGCGACTACATGCGATTCTACGGCGTGCCGGGGACGACAGTGGTGGACTAAAGACTCGTCTTCTCCATGCGAGACAGTTTATTTCCCGTATTCTTCATCCTAGACATATCTATTATGCCCCGCGCCACGCGACATACCATGCGATCTACGGCTGTGCTGGGGACGACACGTGTGTGGACTAAAGACTCGTCTTTCTCCATGTAGAAGCCAGGTATTTCCCCGTATTTCTTCGATGCTAGACATTCTATTTTGCCCCGGCACGCGACGACATTGCGATTCTACAGGCGTCCGGGGACGACAGTGGGGTCACGTTGTGGACTAAAGACTCGTTTTCTCCTATGACCGAGACAGTGATTTCCCGTATCTTCATTGCCGAGACATCTATTTGCCCGGCACCGCGACTTCATGCGATTCTACAGCTTGCCGGGGACGACAGTGGTGGACTATAGACTTGTATTCTCCATGAGAATTGTGATATTCATGCGAGACAGTGTATTTGCCCCGGCACGCGACTACATGCGATTCTACAGCCTGCCGGGGACGACAGTGGTGGACTATAGACTCGTATTCTCCATGAGAATTGTGATATTCATGCGAAATAGTGTATTTGCCCGGCACGCGACTTCATGCGATTCTACAGCCTGCCGGGGACGACAGTGGTGGACTATAGACTTGTATTCTCCATGAGAATTGTGATATTCATGCGAGACATTCTATTTGCCCCGGCACGCGACTACATGCGATTCTACGGCGTGCCGGGGACGACAGTGGTGGACTAAAGACTCGTCTTCTCCATGAGAAGCAGTGTATTTCCCGTATTCTTCATGCTAGACATTCTATTTGCCCCGGCACGCGATTTCATGCGATTCTACAGCCTGCCGGGGACGACAGCGGTGGAATATAGACTTGTATTCACCATGAGAAGCAGTGTATTTCT